GTCTCTCAGCCAGGTACTGACCAGGCTCATATTCACTACATTTGCATAATAATAATAAAATTATTATTATTACATTATTATTAAAATGCTTAGCTTCAGTGGGTTGCCAGTTGTGAGTTGCAGAGTGATATGTCTGCTGGCTAATTTACTTTAACTATCATAACCTGTAAATGAAAAACAGCTCTTTTTCTATTTCTGGGACCATGTGGCTCTGGAACTAGAACCAATATGATTTTTCATATCATAGATCAGCCTTTTGCCCTTTTTGCATTACCTCAAATATATCAATATTTCTAAAAAAGGCTATTTTCATGTTTATTTTTACTAGTTTCATTCACATTTCACATTTTGTTTGAAGTGTTAAAAGAGTGTAAAACTATTTTTTTGTCAGCGAGATGCCTATGTTATGGTGAAAAACATTTCATTTACACAAACCCAGAATAAAAACTAGACTTTACACTGTGACATTTATTGACATTAAATTCAGATTGAGATTATTGTGTGTTGTTACAGTGTTTAGAAAGACTGATATATAACTTTCTAAATCAAATCTTTTCATTGAAAGAAGTTACTGCACGTGTGCAAAAGGCCTTGAACAATAACATTAATTGGTATTTTAACTCCTTCTTTACCATTACAAGCTTTTTTTTAAATGCAATCAAAATCTCTCTCAGGCACAAATCACCGATGCTTTGTTTTTTTTACCACATAAGATGAGAGTTGACATTTATCTATGGACTTTTTCAATAATCACATTTTCATGAGCATGCAAATTTTCATTGTTTTCTAAGCTTGATTATTACTACAGAAATTAAAAACGAAACACAGCAGCGTTTTTGTTTTAAATAATAGTCCCAACATTAACATTTTTAACACAGGGAAAAGAAGCATTAAAAATAGCCAGATGGTTATGCATAGTTTAAACTCACATTTGCAGGAATAAAGTAGAAAATACATTTTATAAACCATAACAATACAACTACAAAGTAACCAATACTTGCAAGTTCAGCAGTCTGTAGTCCTAATGAACATCATTAATTTGTTATTCTTTTGAATATGATTCATACAGTACTTTATTAGAGTTGTTTGTCACTTTTTAATAACCAAAAAAAAACAAATACCTTTCCCTTTGGTTCAACATAAAAACATCAGTCACAAGTGATAAACCACTCTCAGAAAACTTTACAATGCAGTGTAGTCTTCTTCTGCTAGATTGGTTCAGAATTTAAGCCTATATTTGTTTAAAGGCAAAAATTGTTTTACTTTTGTATGTTTCACAATGAAATCATAACTAGCACCTGAAACATTGTTACCCGATGGAATGTCATTCCATGTTAACTCCAATACAGTTGGAACCCCACAAGCAATTATCTACTTTGAACACAAATGACAAGGTTCCTTTTTTTTGTACACAAAAAAATAGATGGAGTTACAAAGTGTGCATTAGAATCCGAATCTATTTTATTATCCACATCCAGTCGAAATGTTCCTCTGGCCTCACTGAGACATCCAATACATTCAATACATCCCAATACATCCTCACTGAAACATCCAATACACCCACATACTGATGTAATCAGTGTAATATAAATAACAATACCATAAAATACAACAGAGAACAAAAACATAAGTTTTGGAAAGGTTCAGATGTTATACAAATATATATGCTGTCAGTGCAATGCTCTAAATGGGATCAAACATCCGCAGCTCAAGAGTAGCGGCCAACTGAATGAATGGCTTCTTGAAATCGTGATGTTGATATTTGCGTAACCTATGGTACTCTGAAATGTTATTATTCAACCTGCGAGTGTAGTGGATATGAGGCATAATTTACTATTAACACTGCTTTCCTATATATTCTCCTAGTACAGATGTGGTGAAGCTGGTTCTGTTTCCGAACAAAACTTTTGCTTGGTACTGTACCTCATTCCACAAGCATACTTTTCAGTAGAAACGCTGCTCATGAAAACCCTATCCTAGATCTGGCTGGGAGAAAACTATTAAAATGACAGATAATTACCCCGACTTCTTCTTTGTCCTTCTTTGGCTTCTCGTCGCTGGACGCGTTAACGACAGCAGTTTTCAGTGTCTCTTCAGATTCAGGTTTACTTAGTTTCAACACACCTGCAGCTACAGGAGTCTGTTTTTTCTCTTGGATGAGAAAACTGGACCTTTCATGCTGAAGCTTTACCGCCTCCTGATGCAACTTCTGCCGAGCTCGTTTAATCTTCCCTACCATTTTTAATATTATTTTTTTTAACTAATGAAGAAATACTTGCTCTCCTTCTAAACTTTCAGCAAAGCAGCTACAACTGAAGCATTTTGCATGAGCTCGCGTAATACACACGTGGGGACCACAACACTCACAGGAGCTACATCTAAGAATGACCAGAGAGAAACAAAAACTGTGACGAATAGTTCCGAAAGCAACGAGTAGGGTTTAATACAGTTAAAAAACACCAGAGGGCGTCACTTACGAAATTAGTGTTTTCCAAAATAAACAAGGTCTGATGTAATAATAATAGTAATAATAATTGCTTACACTTATGTAGCGCTTTTCTGGACACTCTACTCAAAGCTCTTTACAGGTAATGGGGACTCCCTTCCACCACCACCAATGTGCAGCATCCACCTGATGTACCTCTGTACAATTGCATCTATTCAGTTTTTATTTTTATTCGTTGAAGCATAGTCGTTATCATATTTTAAGATACAAACGACTAATTAATTATTACCTTCACGTTCAAGTTATTGTTGTTACAACGTATACATTAGCTTTAATTACATCTGAAGTGGGTCAGTAGTTTATAAACCTATGTGCGAGTGACAGGTCACACACAGACACAAACAGAAACACATTCATACCAGTGCCATTTTTCCCCCAGAAGCCAGTTAACCTACCAGTTTGTCTTAGGTCTGTGAGAGGAAACCGGAGCACGCGGAGAAAACCCATGTGTACATGAGGAGAACATATAAACTACTGTAACACAACAGGGGTTCAGGTGGGCGCCCTTGCCTTCTGCGCACACAGCTTGGCCCCGCACCGTGGGGGACACGAACCCGGACCTCTGGGGTCACTCAACAGGGACCCAGCTTGTTGAGCTAAAGAGAGATCTCTCTACAGCCCAATGGCTGTGGTCCTGCTATTACAGGGAAGGGCGGCGATGTCACCGCTCTGGTAAGCTGGCTCTTACACAGTGCCTGTCGGCCGTATGCATTACACTACACACAGACTGTATCCTGGGACTTGAACCCAGGGACCCAGCACTGCAACAGCACAGTTCTAACCATGTCACCCCAGTTAAAATATCATGCCTGAAAACTGAAGTAGCAAGGGAATTGTCATCAAGATGGAGCAGGCAAGGGCTCAGTAGCAAAGTCAAGATGGTAATGCCTAAAAACACAACCACATACTGTACACCCAAAAGCTTTCAATCATAGGGCACTCCCAAACTTTGGGTATATACTGTCTGCATCAGTAACAGAGAGGCTCAGGAGAAATCGTATTTTAGAACTGTACTATGGTGTTGTATAATACCATGTGTAAGTTTAAAATGGATCACCTGTTGAGTGAGATGGATAGGAAGTATTGTCCAATACTTACAGTAGTCCCAGTCATCACTACAATGCAGCTTGTCTAGTTCTTTGTCTTGTAAATAGGCAAATAGTAGGTGAGTGACTTTAAATGAGGGAGTTACACAAAGAAGTGTTGAAAGATCTACTTGATGTGCGTGCGCTTGTCATCAAAGCATGTATATTACCATTTAGTGTAGACCAGGATGTTTAATTTAAGAGCAGAGAACTTGTCTGGAAGAAGTTATACCAAAAGCTTAGAAGACACATGCAATTTCAGGGTACTTCCCAGAAGAAATTATGGTATTTCCTTCAAATGATCAATGAGCTAGTCCAGTATGGAGGGATGCAATTCTGCCCCTAAGGAGCCAAAATCAACTGTGAATGTGGATCATAAATGTGGATCATCCATACACATTTAATCAAGTAAAAGATGTGTATAGAATCCAATGCTACCATAATTCTTTGCATAATAAATGCCCCTATTTAGTTTAATGCTCCTTAAAGACAAGTTGAAGCACACAAAAGAAATGGTTTGAAGCCACGTTTTCAACACAACATTGGGAGAGCTTCAGAAAATTCTGTGGGAATTTCCCTACTCTTTACAGGCTAAAAGAACTAAATATTTTTAGTGTTGAACAAAGGAAGTTATGAGGTACCTAATTTAAGAACTCAAAATCCTAAAGAGCATTGAGAGTGCAAGGTTATCAACTTAAAGAATCCTGCCTGAAAGCAAACACTGACAACTGTCATTGCTATATATGAACATTCCTTAATTTAACTGACAGCCTTTAACAGTAATGTCTTGGTAATTGAAAATTTGAGTGGTTTACCATTACTGAATAAAATGAAGTGATCTTTTCAATGAAGTGAATAAAGTAATGCAAAATTTAAAGAAAGCATCAATAGTCAATAGAATATACTGTAGTGTTGCAATGTCCTTTCCTTGCCCGACCTTTGGCAGGGAGACACCTTAGAGTTAGGGCTGCTATATCTTCAGGAGGGGTGTGTTGGGGAGAACCATGCAGTTGCCCAGGAAACGAAGGGATGCAGAAGGAAAAGTAGTGAGATGTGTGTGTTCATACCAGAATTGTCCTGCAGCTGAGAAACCTGTCCTGTACTCCTTTTTTTATTTTTGCCTTACAACTTGGGTTTGGGGATATCCTTTTCTGTGTGTTAAAAGGACATTAGAAGTTCTTTCTTTGTACTTCGTGGTGTCAATGTCAGTTAATCACATGACAATATGTTTGTTTTGCACACTGAGAAAGAATAGAAAGTGAGATGGAATCTACTTCCTGTCACAGCAGAAACACCTGCCTCCCACTGCACACATCAGTCACATCCTCTACAGTATGTGAACCCAGAACTCTGTCAGAGCCTGTAATATATCAAAAGACAACATTGCCACATAATAAGCTGTAATGATCACTGTTTTAGAGGATATTGATTATTAAACATGAGCTTCTTCACTGTTGCTCATTAATAAGTTGAGTTTTACTAAATGACATTGGTAAAGTGAAAATAGTTTTCATTAAATAAGAATACTCCTGTAATGCTATGGACATAATTAAGTCTCATTTTATGACATATGATAGCCCTTGGGGCTGTGTATTAGTTATAGTTATAATTATGTTATAGTTATAGTAGAAATCATAATAATGTTAATGATCAAAAGAAAAATAAATTGGCGAGTAATTTAGTTTCCTCCCTGCTATTCAGATAGAATTAATTGTTCATACGGAAAATAAATTACTTAGTCTTCATTGTAAGGGACCTACTCAATTTGCAATTACTAATATTTCTAATTACTAATATCTGTGAAATTACACTTCCATTGTAAATCCAAAGCAGAACAAACTAAGAACACATTTGCTATGTGGGTGAAATTACTAAGTGAGTAGCGTAACTGGGTGCTCGTTTGGTGTCTCAAGAGGAAACAAGGAAAGCTGTTCACAGATATGCTATAAAAGTGTGCTTTATCATAGTATCAGAGCAGCTGTTCAATGATTTCCAAACCAAAAGAACTTATTTAGAAAATCTGATAACTGTGCTTGTTTGCAAAGTCAGTGAAGGGCAGAACTCTTAAAAATGGACAGAGATAGGCACCTGCAAGTAAATTAGGGACATTTATATAGGACTGGGCTTCTCTGCTGCTTGTGTTGACTCAAGTGATGTTGATGACGTGCCGTGACTTCAAGGCCGTCCATACTCTGGAGGTACGTAAATTCTGAAGTACTCAAAATGAAGATCTTCTCAGCTGGTGTCAACTGCCCAAATAAAAATAATGCTCAACAAATTATCTCATGGGACTATCATAGCAATACAAACTGTACTGTATGCATTTCTACTTGGGATCACAGGAACTATGACACTGGTAAGCAGATCACCTGCAAAACTATGCCAAAAGGATTGAACCAGGCAGTGCTAATGAAGTAGTCAACTGTCTGCTGTACAGTATATTCCCACCTTCTTCACACAGCACGGTAAGGTCGTTTGCCATGGGAAATATTTTGCAGAAGATGTTTATACAGGTAAAGGCCTGTGAATAGGCAGAGCTGAGAGATCTTATGTATCTTCTGAAATTTTAATTCATGGTTGGCACCTAACATTTAAATGGCTTTAACACCATTAAGTGACAAGAAAATAAAACGCAGCTCATGTTTTTAGAAGAAATGCTGAAAAGGTTACAAGAGTTAATAAATATCATTGAAAACAAATATTATGACAGATATCAAGAGGTTCACAAGTTTAATTCTTATCACTGAAGCAATTCCAAGGGGCAAGAAAGCTTAATACTGTAGGTGGCATGGTGGCACAGTGGTTAGCAGTGGTACAGCATCACAGCAGAGGGCCTCTGGGCTCAATTCCTGACCTGTGTGCTGACAGCATGGAGTTTTTATGTTTTCCCCATGATCTCGTGGGTTTATTCCACAATGTAAACTGGTCCAAAGATAAACTGGCAGGTTAATTGGCTTCTGGTGAAAAAGGCCTTGATGTGAGTGTGTGTGCATTTGTGTGTGTTTGCACTGCAACGAACTGGTGTCCCATCTACCATTGTGTGCTATGTCCTGCCTTGTGCCCATTGCTGTCTCCACTGGGAAACTGTACTGGATAAAGCAGTTAGATAATGGATGGGTGTCGAAGCTTAATATTGAGAACTTACAAACGAAGCATTAGCAGGAAATGTTCTGGAAAGGAAAAGGCAACTTCGTCATTTGTGTTGAAACCACACGAAGCCAACACATCTGTGTTTAACTTTACAACATTCATAGTAGTGAATGAAGCAGAATTGGAACTGGGTAATTTGCAGGACACAGATATGCGGGTTTCTAAATTCAAAGGCTTGGTGAACAAATTTAAAATTCCAGGTAGGCAGAAATGTATCCTGCCTAATGCTTAGTCTTAAATAAAAGAAAGAGCCACATGTTTGAAGTTTATTTTTTTTACCAGATGTGTACAATAAGATGAAACAATATGGATTTGGTACTGTCCATCTTCAGATCAACTTGCCTTTGTAATCATTCTCAATTATGACTTTCATAGAAAAACAAACCAAAACAAGTAAAGGATGAAAGTGTACAGTCGTACTTTGCAATAAAAATGACCTAATTCAAAACCTACTCTCTGGCTGAATCAAAAAGACTCTCCAAAGAAACAGCATGAACTGCACTATAAATACTGAATCTGGAAGCTGCAATCATGTGTTAAAGATTCTGAAAAGAATTGAAATTCACACTAACATGTAGGAGGCACAGTGGTGATTGCAACATTATCTGGGTGGACTTTGTTCTCCCGTTGCTCACATGGGTTT